CCCTTTGCGTTGCACTTTCTCGGAACGCTGTTTCTTCAAACGTGAAGGTTTGCAATTTCTCGTCCATCCTTGTTCATTACGCGATGATTTGTCTTTGTTTTCTCAGGTTTTCGAAAAGTCTCTAGCCATCTTTGTGCAGTTATTGGATAAGTTCAAAATTCATCTGAAGTTACAAATCGAGGTGAGCTGTTGTTCCATTTTAAGTACATGTTGTGGCGTTTTGCCTCTATGTGCCGTGTCAAGATTTCAAAGAAAGTTCTTCTAAAATTTGCTAATCTTAGTTACATTACCTTTAGCTAAGAAGTTTACTGAGCTTTATAGTACCTACAAACGATCTAAGGCTGATAGGTTAGAACAGGCATTGATTAGCGCATACTTTCATCTTCATATCACCATACTTCTTAGCTTCGTTCTCTTAACTTGATTAAAATGCTGGTCGGTTAAACTTTTTCTCTTGTATAAACCATTTTTAGGTCTTCTTCAAGGAAATAATCATATCAATGCTCGAGTCATCGTCATGCTCATTTGAACACAAATGGATTGTGCTTCATACTATTGGTAATGGTTGTTGAAGTTTGGAGTGCCTTCATATGTGCTTCAAACGTGCGTTTCGCGTGAAGCGCTAAGTGCGCAAAGCGCGCCGTGCGAGGTCCGCGATGAACTCTAGTCTTGCACCGCACCTTCGCTATTGATTTGAGATAGTTTCCGAATTGAATGACCTGAATCATGTTGATCAAAATATTCATTGAAGGACAGCTGAAGGGCGAAGTATTTGCGAGAATTTTTCAAACGGGCAGTGAACAGGGTTTGATTTTTGTGGTACAGGCTCTCATAGGAGCATAATTTGAACACTGGAGGATATTTCCAATTCTCTCTCTTGATCCTTTTCCATTTGAACCTGAAATCGTCAGCGCTAGTTCAGCAGAAATTAATTGTAGATGATAATTTTGCGCACAAAGTAGGAAGGAACTCCTAGTTGCCGTCAGAGCTTCAAAAAATGGTCAACTTCAGGTAAAATTCTTGCCAATCCGCAATCTGTGGTGGACCTGTACGTGAATTATGATTGTGATTTGACCGCGCACAACGTGTTTGAGAACCTGGTTGATGTGGTTTCAAAAACTGCTAGGACCTCCATCAATGAAAACTCTCCGGTCATTCAAAAAGAACGGCAAGTTGTTTTCTTTTCTGATCAGTTTTCTGATTGTTGATTTCTGATACACTTTTCATTCACTACTTTCTATGTTGTTCTATGAGTTTATTTTAAGAGAACGTGCAATGCGATTGCTCGGTTTGAGCTGTTTGACGGATCTTCTACAGTGTTTAGTGGATTGGTTCGATGTGTGTGAAACAACTAAGAATAACTTGTTGCGAGAACGTG